AGGTGCAGAGGAGGCAGGAACTGAGGGAAACAAAGCCATCTAGGGAGCACTTGGAGGGGCCCATGCTGGAGAACTTGGAGCTGTCTCCAAACTTTCCTGATTTTCAAGAGACTTCAGTCCAGCTGATCCCATAGGAGAGACATGATACAGTCAGGAAGACAGAGCAAGACTGGGGCTTGCCCACTGCTTCACGCCGCTGAGGCCCTGGCTGGACAGCCAGACTCACCTCAGCAGCACAGAGCAGAGTGTTGCAGCGGCACAGCACTATGGAGAAGACCATCAACGAGTTCAGCAGCACCAAGAGCATCTGTACCGATGCCCCTGCCATGCCACATGCCAGAACCACAGTCACCAGGGATCCCAGTGAGCCCTGAGACAACCATCCCCACAGCCTTTGTGTTTCACACCTTTCCCCCTGGCACTGCATGTACCACAACAGATCTTCTCACCAGGGTGAGCTGCTGTGCTGCAAGACTTGGAGGCTTCCTGCCAGACCCTGGGCTCAAAGCCAGGCCCACTCTGCAATCCCAAAATCCAGTGGTCCAAACTCACATCAACCCTGCTTGCAGTTTACTGACCTAACTGAGGTCTGGAGAAGGGGCAAAGCCAGATGGTCTCCTGTGCTGCAGCCTCCAGCCCTGCTGTCCACAGCCTGAGGAGGTTGTTTTGGGGCTTGCTCACAGACACCAAAATGGCCTCTTCATGCCCATCTTAAGAAAAACAAAAAGCAGGCAGCCAGGTGGCAGGAGTTATCACTGTTGTGTCATGTCAAGCTCCCTCCAATTCCCCCAGCTGTGAAATGGGTTCTTACATTTCCTGGAGGCTGATCAGAGAGATTTTTCTGGGTATCATCCAGCAATGATTGTTTCATTCCTAGAAGCAGTGCTCAGAGAGGAGGGAAACCCAGTACCACATCACACATGTATGGTTGATTCACCCAAGAATCCCAGCCCTTTTCCTGCAGCTCTGGTAGAGGCAGGCAAGGTCTGAAGATGCACCCTTTGGTATCAGCAGATTTGAAAAAAAACATCTGCAGAAGTCAAGGGGCTTCCCCAGTTTAACGGCACTGGAAGGGGCGGCTGTCCCGTGAGGCACACACGTTGTCTGACTTCTCTGGAGGTCAATATATTTGCTCCATATTTGATGTCTCCCACCCACAACACAGAGCTGAGAAAGCTTCTGTTGTATAAGGGACTGGTTTTTTTTTAAATGGGAGAGATCTAAAAGAAAGACACAACTGATAATATATTGTTAAACAAAGCAGTTTAATGTGTTGTGGTGCCCAGGCAAGGGCACTGAGTAGACCCCTGCAGCGGGCACCGTCAGCTTCTCCTCCTGGATGCCTTTGGCAGCCCCCTGCTCCCCATCCCCAGGAGAGCCGGACGGGGGCACGGCATGTACCCATGCCTGGAAAATAAACGGGCAGCAGCCAGAGCTGTATCTGCTGTGCCCTGTGGCTGCTCTGCCGGGAATTTAAGCAGCCCCTAAACGCAGCTGGGCCACCGGGTGCTTCTCTCCGACATCTGCCCGTCCTGCTCACTGAAAAAATCATGGAGCTGCTGCTAATTTCATTAGCAGGCCCGTCAAGCGGTTCATCAATCTCTGATTTCCTGGCTTGGCGCCGTGAGGAAACAAGCAGGATCTGCTCTGAATTCACAAAGGCAGCCTCTGGGGTAATTGGTCTGAAGGCTTAATATTTCCTCGGTGGATTATTATCTCGGATTAAAAGTGGGAGAAAGAGTGGTTCTCCTTTTTTTGTTTGTTTGTTTGTTTTTATGGGGTTTTTAAATTATTATTATTTTTGTTTTAAACCTGGAATAAGCCCAAATACCCCCCACAGTGCCTGCAGGTCCCCGGGCCGGAGCTGCCCTGTCCCAGAGGCGGGCAGGCACAGGCAGGGGCACCGGCCCCGCGGCACCCCCCGCACCCCCCGCAC